TTAAGTGTCACAGAGGAATGGAAATGATTTTTTGTTGTTGTCGGACAATAAAGAAAAAAATTAAACAGAAAGAACAATCTTAAAAGTAAGACTAAGGATGTACTTCTAGCAATTTCAGGAGGCTTTTCAGCCAGCAACTCCTTGCCAGCAAGTGTTAATAACATAAAAGAGGAGGCAACCAGGATGACTTTATAGACCAGGTACGTCCTGCCTTGGCCAGCTCTCCAACAGAAGCCAAATTTCAACTGCAACGTCTTCCCCGGAGGGAGGGAGGAAAGGAAGGAGGGAGCTGAAGGACCCTCACTCCCTCCCCACTGTGTAACCTTCCCCACCAGTCGAAAAAAGGGCTTCAACTTTGCACAGCAGAAATACTTTGGAGGAGGAGAAATACGCCTGGAGAGCAGCCCTAAGCAGCGGGATGAGGCTACCAGCTGCAAGTAAACGGTTGGCAGTTGCTGCTTTTTGTCTTTCATTTTGCTCTACCTTGTTTTAACTGCTTTCTGCTTCTTACAGTTTACTTGTGTATTGTCTTTAAACTCCTAAGATCAGACTGTGCCTATTTTAACTTTGAAATAGCGCCTAGAGCATGTTTTAGGTGCTACATGTAATTTACAAAATGATCTCAAATCCATAAGAGTGAATCGAAGTAATATGCTGTGCCAAAATGGTAAGAGAGAAAATACTTGAAAATGCTAAGGAGCCTGTTTGAATGGGGTAACAGACAGGGATTTTTTTTCCCCCTTCCATCTGGAAGCTTACAGAAAGACAGCAGAGTCCAACATGAGGTTTGCAGGAGGTACGGTGCGGCAGCCTTGCTGCTGCCAGCATTTCCCCACAAGGCACCTTCGCCCACAGACAAACCACAGCAGCAAAAGGCACTTCATTACTGCTCCACCAAAGAGAAGGAAGGGAGGATTTTAAACAACCTGCATTGTGCCCGTCATCTTTAAAAACCAGCGGGGTAATCAAGTTCAGGGCAGCCCCGGACAGCTGCCCTGTGACCTATTCATGCTGACCCTCACTATTCATCACTTTCCTTAGGACTATGAGGGCAAGCTCCTGGGGAGTGACCACCACAATAGACAGATACGAGCCAACAATAATACAGTTCCTGCAAAAAAACCAGATGGCACAGCAATAAATTTACAAATCTGCATTCATGGCTCTGTTAAAAACACCCAGAAGCTAAAAGGCTGGAGGGGCCCCCAGAGAGCTTCCCCTTCCCAGTTTCTAAAGGCCATCTCTCTCCCCAAGACTATTGAGCTCATGTTCTTCATAAATGAAGAATGGAGACGTAGACCTTAAAATAACAAATGTCTGACCTAATCAATCTAGTGTTTGGGTCTAACACTAAATGATAGGCACTGAAAACTAATTATGTTTTTTGGCAAGGAAGTTGAATTAGAATGGAAACACACAGGTTAAAAAGGCACTGAAGCATTTGCGAGTCCCTTTGAAAGGGCAGCACACACACACGCTCACACGCAGGGCTTGAAACAGGAACCTGATTCAATAACTCATGCATTTATTTTTAAAATGAATCAGATTAGTCCCATGTGTGACCTGCCGGTCCATCTGTATGAGCTGGACTTAATGGGCACTCTTCTCACGCTTACTTCAGTTTGAAGTATGAGAGAGATAAATTTAGTTTAATTTTCAACAGATCAAGCTATCCATTTTCCAAATGGACCATCTGGATCAGCCTATTAAAATTAATTTATAACTTTGCAGTGTGAAAATTCGTTTGTTAGCTTAAATAAAGTTGCCAAAAACTTTTGCCACTTGTCATTGTTTCTTCTGAAGTCTGTTTTCATACTATGATTTTCAGTTTACCCCTTCAAAATTTAATTTCGTCAGATCGAGCACTCAACAACTGAACGTTTGCATCCTTGCTTCCAAGTCTGTCATAGCTTAGATCTTTTCACTGTTCCAGCTAACAGTGTCAAGTTCATTGCCTTTTTCCATTTCCTTTCCCAGTCCTAATCTCCATGACTTCTGCCTTGCTGCCCCTCATGCACCTAAGAGTGGCTATGCCTTCCACTTCCAGCACGCTAAGGACACAGCTTCACTTGTTGAGACTTCTGAAGACATCCTTCTCCAAAAACCATTTTAATCAACAGAAGAATGATATTTCTCCTAGTAAGAGGTCCATAGCACCGAGCAATGGGTGTCTTCAGTCCCTGCTTACAACTTCAGATGCCTAAGTAACCATTACACCTCCTTATTACCTCCACCTTTGGTATGCCTGTTCCACAAACCCATCCAAGAAAACATTTCTGGCTAAGGCTGCACAGCACCGCAAACAGGGCAAGAAAAGGTAATGCATCTTTACTTAAACTTGTCAGCAGCTGAACATGTCAAGACATCATACTTCCCCTGAAGTGGTCTGATACATCTCATTAATTTTCTAAAACTAGTCAAAAAGTACTAAATATGTGGACATTTTCACTGGAAAAACCATTTAAGGAAACAGACTTCTCCTCTACCCACATACACACATTCAATTTCTCTGTGCATGTAGGTCCATGTTCCCCAATAATGAAATTTTAACAGTGGTGTCTTAAGGGAGGGACAGAAAACACGAAACTATACACTCAGTATTTACCAAGTTAGCATTTTTCCGCTAAGGTGGAAAGCACTTTTTGTGTATTACTGCTTTGACAATATTTGCAGGTCAGATCTTTTTGGTTTTACAAAATATTGATAGATGTAAGACAGGGTAGCCACTCTGCATTCCTTCCTGTAGGAGGTGCAGATCTTTCCAATAAATATCACACTAGTCATTGATTATGAGTATATGGGCACATGGCCGCATAGGCATCTGATTTCTGCAACTAGAGTTGGAAAATTCCCCACTGCTTCTTGCCCATCACTAATAGAGAAGAGGAGCCATGTGAGCTTCCAAAATGCTCAGCTTTATTTATGCCTACAGGAAGAACCAAAATTCCTTCTACAATAGGCACAAAACTGTGGTCAATCACCTCCTGTGACCTGGACAAGAGGGCATTCACTTTAAGACTATGACTACATCTTGAACTTCTCGACAAACACTGTTCTCAACACAAAAGGCCCCAGATAGCAATCACAAGACCCAAGGATTTTGTCCTGCATCTGTAAAGGTCGGACACAAAGATGGAGACTGATACAACACCTCAACAATATCCTGAAACACAGCTAACCATCTTTGATGTAAGCAATGTCCATGTGAATTATTTCCAATATGAAATATCTGGATAGTACAAGTGGTTTTTATTCTTGATATCTAGTCACCTTGCTTATGATGAATTGTCGGCCTGTGGGAAAGACAGCTCTCCTTGGACACTAAGAATACTTCTGCAGACTGAAATAAAACGCAAGGGAAACCCAACTCAAATAATCGTACTTTCTTGATCTGTGTAATACTGCTCATGAATATTTGTCTCCTCCTTAACCAATAATCAGGAAGAAGGACTCAGTGTGATGAGAAGGCACACAAAACAATTAACTCATGTTCCTTTTGACTTAACATCTCTTATTATGACCCTTATCTTGGAGAAGAGACATACATCTTTTCCTGTTGAACGTTAAGTCTTGCCATCAATAAGATAAGTCTGAGATGGAAAAAAAAACCCTCAGTTTTCTGGTGTGCTGGGGACCTTGTTTGCTATTCTGGAGATACACAGAAGGGACCTAGCAGCATTGCTCTCTTCCTCTAGCTTTCATTGTTTGCTTCTGAATGCCAGAAACATTTTAAGTTTGGTGTAACATATTTAATCCATTCTACAAGGTAATCTTTCTCAGCAATATCTGGGACCTCACTCATTATCCTAGCGTATTGCCTCTTTACTAAAGGACTTATGTGGACTACATCTGTTAGATAGACCTGTCTTACCCACATGTAGTCCTTCACATGACACCTACTCCCACAAAATCAAACACTCCTAACACAATACATTATTAAAAAAAAGAAAAAACCTCAACAAAAAACCACCAACAACAAAAACACAAACCCAAACCAACCATCCCCCCGAAAACAACAACTCTGACCACAAGCACATTGTATCAAAAAGACATTTCTTCCTTTACTATGCTTCTGACCCACAATTTCTCTTGGAAATAGCAGCAGTGGGGCAGTGTGTTACCATCCTATTCCTCTGCCCGAGACTACTGCTCCTGTGGCTGAGACGAGAAGGAAATGTGCCAATTCCTCAGCTGTTGCAATGTGTGGCCTGGGGTATTCACTTAAGTCACGTTCATCAATGATTTTACTCCGATACACCAGGCAGCAGCCTTGGGCAGCTGAGGCATGGACATATTTTTCTTCTGCTGCCTGAAGGTTGCAGCAGGGAGAAAGAGCAAGGTGAAAAAGGATCTGAAATCACTAAATCCAACTCAAATCCCCCCAAAATCAAAAGTCAGACTCCCTTTGTTGGGATTAAAAACAGTGATTCTTTTGAATTGGTAAGAAATTTGCTTTACTATATATAAAAGGCAAAGAGATTATGTTTTTATCAGATCACCCTGTCTCCTTTCTACCTGTTAGTAATTTGTACAAGTGTAGAAGAAACAAGAACAGGTCATTTTTCAGGTAGTTAACCTGGACATGAAGAAAATTTAGAAAATTTACCTTCAAGGGCAATGAAAAGCTTAATTGTTGTAGAACACTTTGAGACTCTTGATCTGAAGCAAGGTAAAATATACTACAAAACAAGACAGGAACAACTGCAGAAGAAAAGGCTGAAGAGTTCTTGACGAACACCAAATGGAGAAAGGTAAAACTAGAGAGTCACAGCTGACTGCCCTATACAGAAGTCTAGATTTCTTTAGAGTGAGTCATCAAACTCTCCTGAAAGCTAAATTTCTGTGTCTGATTTTCCTGAACAAAAAATTTCTTTTTCAGACTTCAAAAGAGAAAAGAAAGGATTTCCATGAGCACAAGTCAGACTTCAGTTTCCAGAAGCATTTAAGGATTCAAATAGCTAGAAAGTTTTATTGCATTTTTAAAGAGACTGATCACATACCTGTCTAAGTGAATTCTTCTCAGGAATGATCTTCCTAGGGGGCTCATCATTATTACAGTCTTCTCTCTCAGAGGAATTCTGTGAAAGAAAGTAAGCTTTAATTCAGTTCTTATCCCTAATATTACTCTACGAGGAGAAAAGAAACAGCATATTTGTACTACACAGGCTGTAGTATTTTACGCATACATATACCGGAGGCTAACTTGTACTTTTAAGCCAAACAGCTTGTTATGGCAGAGAAAGAATTTCTCCTCCTCAACACAACAATGCACCACTGTGCAGATATCTATTGAAGCAGCCTGTGCTTTGGGGATTTATTCTGAAACTACCAATAACGGCCACTTTGAAAATGTGGTTGGATCAGCATGGTGACACCAGTGCTTCTAACACCCCAGAATAACTATTTAAAATAATGGAAATTTCTTGTAAACGAAAGGTTGTTAATGGGTGCAACTCTTGTTCTCTGTGCCCCTATGCTTTTAATCTGACTAACAATTATTAATTGCACTGAGTCTGCTTGGCTGCCAAGAGTCATATAGAAATGATGATAGAGCTAAATTCTGGTGAAAGATGTTGTCAAGAGATCCTTAAAGAAAAAATTGTGTAGGTAGCATATGATACTATGGTTATATTTTTCACTCCTACCCCCGACTCTACATAGATGTACAATTTCCAGAAAGACTGATGCTCCAAAACTTAAGCTACCACCTCCAAAAAAGAGCATCAGTAACACAAGAGAAGGCAGGCAAGTAGAAATAAGATGGCTTTTCCAGCATGAGTAAGAAAGACCACCAGGAGACTTGTGTCCTGCTAACCTCATGATTAAAACCAATTATTACTTGCTTTAGAGTAAAGACAGGCTACAGTTATCTCAGAACATGCACGGTCTGTAGTAAACATTTGGTTAAAAACTGCTGGGTATGTGGGGAGAATCCTGTCCTCGCTGCCAAAGTCAGCTCCTCGGGAAGACAGCATTCCTTTGCACGGGTTCAGCCACAGCATTGACAGAGCAATGACAGCCAGCTTAGGGGGAATCCCACACACACATCTAAAATCCGTTTGATCACCGCAGTATTCATAGCCTCAGGCCACATTCCCACGCATTCAATAGTGAGCAACTAAACAGGTTTTAAAGAGATACAGAAAAACTGCTTAGGGAGAGCTCTGCCAGGATAAGAGTGGTTTTCCAGTTACTTGCAGACAAGCTCAGGAGCGCGTACGCTAAGGCAGAAGTTTGCATTCTGTACCTCTCCCCCCTCATCCCCCAAAATAACCTGTCCTTCGCTGAGCACGGCTCTGCCCAGCTTCTCGCAGAGCCAGCTTCCAGCCCAACACCTTGGGAGACAGAAGTGGCATCTGTTGGCAAAGGAGGAGCTGGGCCCTGTGAAGAGCCAGCACGGCAGAGCAGGCCCAGCAGAAGGCACGCGGGCTGCGGGAAGCCATCAGAAGAGCAGTGCGCCTGTGCCCACCGCAGCGCTGCGTCATCAGGCACCGTCCAGGCAGCTCAGGTGTGCCGGGCTGGCGAAGGGGACGAAAAGGTCCAGCCGGGAGGCAGGGCAGGGGTAGAAGCTGTTTGCTGAGAAACGGCAAATGGGGAGGGAAGGGGGAACGCAACAAAAAACCCCCAAACATTTGGGATGTCATAAATGGGTCGGGAGGATTCTGTGCAAAGCAAGGCTTTGCAGACCAACTAGTGATTTTGGATTTTTTTTTTTTAAAAAGATACAGAACTCGCAAGGCACCACAACATCCTGGATGCTGTTTTATAATGGAAATCAATCCTAAACAGGCCTAACAAATTGCTGCAAGAGGGCAGCTTTTAAAAGTTTTCATGTGAGGTCTCAGCCAGGACCAAGTTATTACATTAAATCCAGCTTAGAAAGGACTGCAGTCATAAAAACATACAAGCTAGAATCACATATCTCCAAAAAGGAAGGTCAGACATTAAAGTCGCTCTTTTCTGCTCATGAAATACAGTTTAGGAAGTGCTTAATTCAACTAAGGATTTTAATTTTTGCACTTTGGAGAAAAAGACCAATTCCAAGAAACGTAAGAATCTGAGGTGAGTTACAATATGTTTCCAGCAAATGCATTTTGCTCGGAGGTTTGAGGGGGTTGTTTGCTATTTCTGGATGCTTTTTCAACAGCCACCTCCTCTCCTACAGTAAGTGCCAAAACGATTTCCTCTTCCAAATAACCCTTCTACAACAGTGAAATCTTGCATTCTTCTCACCTTTCAAAGCCATTAAGGATCCTCCCTCAAAAAACATCAAAAAGCAAGAAAATCAGTGCTGCTGGTGAACTGTCAGCCCTTATTTTGAAATTTCTAGTTACTGCAAAGCACCAAGTTATCTACTTTTTGTTTAAGCTGAGCATCTAATTTTAAGAGCAAGCAGAGGGCCATTTTGCATTCATTATCTTTATAGGTGGCAAGGCTAAGAGGTTGGCTGAACAAAGACCAGACAAAGACTGCCAAGTGCATATGGTGGTTCACAGCTTGGCGTCTCACCATTCTACAGCACCAACACAGCAGCTCCGATAGCAGACTATTAAAGAGGAGCGCTGCTCATGCACTTTTGTCGGCAAGTAAGTTACGCTTGGTGAAGACAGAATGACTGGAAAGCATTACACTTAAGAAAAAGCACAGCTGTTTATAAATCCCGCTCATTTCTCAGGAATAGGAAACCCATCAATCCAGGTGCAGGTATGACGCTCTGCGTATTCCAGGACTAACTGTAGCTGTGCGGAAAAGAATTTCATTTGATAGGGCAACACTTAGCCACGACCATGGGAAGAGCATAACGTAGTCAACTGAAATGGTACATCTATATATTTATCCTTGCTGAACAAGGTGGGAGGAGGGATAAGAGTGTGCGAGGTCAGAATAAGGTTTTCTTCAGCAGG